AGAAGCTTTACAAATCTCACAGCTACTTATGGGACGGGCAGGATTCAAGCCCTGACTGAAAAGGTCTGCTGATTTTACTCTATTGCAAAGCGAACAAGATCTAGAAATCGCAATAATTCCTTTCTCTCCCGGGCGACAGGGAATGGCCCGTACTTCCCGGTGCCCCTCCGGTTCTTACTGGCGGCGCCTTCGTAGATCTTAGGGTTCGAGCCTCGCCTCAGGAACTCCACCGCAATCCGCCCAAACTCGGCAACCACTGCAATGGAAATCAGGAGACCGTGAGCTCGGCGCGCTCCCCTGGGCCCCCTCCCCAGCCCACGGAACACCGCCCGTGCGCCGGCGTGCCCCCTGACCTGCGCTGTCCACTTGGGGCAGGAAGGCTAGATGCTCCCTATGCTCCTCCGACAAGTCCAGCAGCATTTTCGCTGGCAGGCAGTTTTGACCCGCCAGCGTTGACCCCGCCCTCGCCACTTCCGGCGCCCGTGTCCAGGCGCAAAGAGGCGCCGGCGTCGCAGCGCCCCGAGCTTTGAGTTCCGGCGTACGTCTGTTCTGCGCTCGGACGCCCCCTGCGGCGCACGCTAGCTGCAGCCGAGTGGGGGCGGGGCGGCGCGGAAGATTGTTCCGTTCGTAAATCATGCCGCAGAGATGTAGTGCGGGATTGCTGGGTGCGTGGTGCTCGCTCCGTGGGACATGAAAAGGTGTTTTAAGCCCGGCACGCCCCCTTGTGGAGTGTTCGTTAGTGATATCAATAGCTAACATTTGTTAAGCTCTATCAGGAACTGTTCCACATTCGTTAACACATTTAGAGTTCACAAGAACCTTATGAGGTAAGTTCCATTATTACTTCCATTAGAGATAAGGAAACTGAGAAACATGTCAAGCAACTGAAACTTTTATAGAACTATTAGTTTTCACAGAGCTTTTGCATATGTTATCTTAAATGTATCTCATCTAATACGCTCAATAGCCATGGCCTCGTTTTTATAGATGAAGAAACAAAGCTCCAAAGATTATGTGACAAAGCCAGTGACAGGGTTGGAAGTAAAGGGTCGGGTCCCTTGCCCAGCTGCTCCAAAGCCCATCCGTCTACACACCAAGCTGAAAGATGAAGACTCCTAACAAGTTTTACACGTGATTATAAATAAGGATAAGGATGACTGATGATGACAGTGACCGATGCTTGGAGGATTCAGAGCAATGTCTTTATGTTTATGCCTTGAGGGCATGTGGGGATTTGATTCCAACTCTCTCTTTTCAACAGCCGTGGTTCAAATATGAGACTATAGAATTGCTGCTTGATAGGAATATGACTCTCCAAATCTCACCCCCTTGGTCTCACCCCCTTGGTAGGGGAGGGGACAGGGGAAGAGAGAGAAAAACTCTTAACATCTATCTTGTGATTGAGACAACTTTTTCTTTTCGTCTCCAGGGCAAAAGTGAAAATCGGAAGGTTTTCAGCTTGCCTCTCTGTGTCTACCTCGTCCTTCACATCTGACTGGAATTGTTTCCTCCACGGGGGCACAAAAAGGCAGGTCCTTGAACATGTTAGGTCTTGAAGCAATATTTGCAGAGAGAGCACTATTTTACATGGACTGTAAATAGCAAATCAGCAAAAAAGGCATTGTTCCCTGAAGATGCTTTTATTCATACATTATTGAGAAAATGACCATTATTAAAGAATAATTTTCAAAAAGGTAAAATCGTGATTCTTCTACAAACATATTACGAACATATATCAAAAATTGTATTGAACTCATTAATTAATTAATGAGGGAATTAGTAAGGTTACAGTAAGAACCAGTTTCAGCTGGTTCAAAGGAGATATTCAAGAATTGTATATATATAGGGAATAAGGAATGTGGAAATGAATTTACAAATAGATACAATATTATGACAATATGAAATAGCCTTTCTTCTCTGTGATGTCAGGGACTGAAGTGGGAGCTGGGAAGGTGAAGGCAAGAATAGGGAGTAGCAAAATTGTCTGTACAAAGAAGGG